TGCCTCATCTACCTGATGACTTGCACTCGCCCAGATCTCGCATACCCTCTCACCATCTTGGCTTGCTTTGTGGCCACAGGCAGACACGGACCGCAGCAGTGGTCGGCCGCTAAGAGGGTTTTGCGTTATCTAGCAAGTACATCAGGCATGGGGCTAGTGCTAGAAGGACGTAGACCAGTGGTCCTCATAGGGCACACATACGCTTCGTGGGCAGACGACGCTGAGACCCTGAGGTCCTCCCAGGGCTATTGCTTTAGCCTTGGTGCTGGCGCCGTCTCGTCACTCATTCGTCGTCTGTTGCCCAGTCTAGCTGTGAGGCTGAGATCTACGTCGGTGCCATGGCGGCACAAGAGCTCCGCTGGCTAACCTTCTTGCTCACAGACTTAGGTGAGCAGCCTAGCTCTGCCCCAGTCCTGTATGCTGATAAGAGGGCCATGATTCTCGTGTGTCAAGAGCCTTGTCTGGAGGGCAGAGCGAAGCACATCCAGCTGCGGTACTTTCTCCTACGCGAGCTACAGCAGCGCCGCCAGGCCCGCGTAGTACACTTGGCCTCCGGTGCCAACACAGCTGATATTTTTATGAAGGCGCTTGCGCCTAAAGATCATCAACGGCACTGTGTACAGCTTGGTCTAGTTCCTGTAGCTTCACACTTGCTAGGACCTTGATTGTATACTACTTCTATATTATCTTGACTGGCCTTCAGGCTCTTGTCCCAGTGGCTGGGCTAGTAGTACCACCCTGGGTTGCTCTTGTTTAGTTTGTACTCTTGCTGACTGATCTTCGGACCCTTGCCTCAGAGGTTGGACTAGTAGTGCCACCCTGAGCTGTGTGTCTCTTGTCAGGCACTGCCCCTCATCTAGCCTAGGGGGTGTGTCAAAACATATATATGTATATTATAGGGAAGATAGGTGCATACTCTTAGAGAGTACAACCCCTTAGCACAAAAGCACCTTGTATCTCTCATTCTAATCATTCATTTCTCTCGTTAACAAACGTGGCCAGGCCATCCCAGCAAAATGGGTGTATTCTTTCACTCGTGAGAATTATATACACATGATGCGAGTAGATGAAGTGCTCTAGTCTTCCCCCCCACCTGTGCATTCAAGCCAGGGCAAAGCCTGTATATCAGGGTTTTTTCCAGGGGTCGGCCTGTTTTTTCAGGTTCTGATTTTCCCTTTTCCTGATTTGAAGGAATTCCCGTTTTTGCTAGGCCTGGTTTTTAGTATGTTCTTGTTTTGTGGACCCTGATCAATCAGCCTTGACGAATTTTCGGCCTGAAACATACCCCCCCCCCCCCCCCCCCCCCCCGCGCGTAAGCACGCGTGGAATGGGGTCGGAACTTTGTATGCTGGAGCACAAGTGAGGGGTGTGAATGGTCATTGGCCAAAATCACGCGTCGAAATGGAGTCGGAATAGAGCACCTGAGAGGAGAGTTTTGTGGTCCTTTGCCAAATTTACCTGCAGCACTAAGGCTGTACTGGGACATGTGTCTCTGGAGTGATTGGACCTTGACTGAGTTCTAGCAAAATACGACCAATCCGTCACAAGCTCCAGCACCAAGAATACATCTGTACTGTATTGCCATCACGCCGTCATGCGTGCTGGCATGACGCATCGCGAGGGCTCGCAGTAGATGGGTAACTGTTTGGGATTCGTAAAAAATCCGTCATATTCGTAGACGTTCTCGGAATATGCTGAATTCAGCCTCGGCAGCATTGGACCATTTCCATTACAACCCGGGCGGATTTTGGAACCAGTCGGATGTAATTTTCCGAGTCCCAAACAAAATCCCGCGAGCATTCCAGACAAAATCTTGGAACTAAACCGGCGGGGAAACGCGAGAAAATCAGAGACAAATCCGAAATGTTTTCGGATGGACCCTGAAGCTGCAGGGTATCGCAAAACCAATCGTGAGCCCTAAAACAAGTGTTTCCCCCACTCAATCAAACCGTCCCAAATTAGGCTTGCCTAAAGCGTAGGCCTGAACCGTCAGGCTTAGAAATTTTTAGGCCTGACAAAACGTGCCAAAGCCAAACCCCGACCCTGAAAAATGTATTTTTTTGAAAGCGTGTAACGCTTTCTAAAAATGTGTATTGTGGTAGTGTAGCAAGGGCCAACGCAGCAAAGGCAGCGGCAAAGCGCACCTAACCCTCTTTTGCATTCAAAAGAGGAACGTGAGGCCTCTCGGCCTCACCCCCGTTCTTCATTTCTAGTTCAGCTCATTTGAGTTTCCCTCATTTGAGTTCCTAGTTCTTTTTTTGTTCTCGTCCAACCTGGCAAAACTCAATCACTTCCACGCTTCAGGGCACCATCGACATTACTAACTGACATTTTGCAGCACAACCTATCGGCAATGACTCCCGCTAATTCCGTGCCAATTCGCGAGGCAAACAACCAGTCCACCCCTGCAAATATCGGCGATCCTGGAACTTCAGACCGGGTAACCGACCGTCGCCAAAAACGTCCTGCTGAGGACAATTTTCGCGAGGGGACTTCGGGTGTCGACGTTCTGCTGGGCGCAACTCACGCCACCCCCGAAGAAACACGCGCAGCTGCCAAGCAGCCGCGCGTACAGTCAACCGAAGTCCACACGCAGAGCCACGCCCCGCCGCCCGCTGCCCAGGTAGGCCTCACCATTCGGCATGCACCTGCCGAGGAGCTTGCGCCACCCGCCGCTGTTCCCGCTTTGACCGCGCAGCAGCTCCAGGCACTTTTCGCGCTGTTACAGCAACAGGCGCTTGTTACGCTCGCCACTTCTTCCAACAACATCAACGCTGCTACGACTAATTTGGCCAAGATGAAGAGATGGCGATGCCTCCTCGCGCCCCAAAGGCCCCGCGCATCGACGACCAGACCCCAGAGACGCTCCCAACGCCCGCCATCGACATCGAAGACAGCGACGACTCCGACAATGAAGATGGTGAGGCTCCGGTAAACATTGCTCACCACCACATTATTGCTCCCGTACCCCCTCTTCCTCCCCTCGCCCCTACGCCCGCCCCAACCACCTTCATGCGCAAGGGGGTACGCGTTCAGGCAGAGGTATTCACCGCCATCCAAGCACACCTCAAGCACGTCGATTACAAGCTGCAACATGACGTCGTGATCGGCGCGCTCAACAACGTCAAGCACATCGAAATGATTATCGACAAGCGTTTCGACATGCTTCAAGTGGCGGACGAAGCCGACTTCGAAGCGGCCGACCGTTTTCAGCTCTACCAGTCCAAGCTCCTTCAAGCTCGCGGTTGCTGATGTCGCGGCACTCAAGCGCGTGCGCACCGGTTACACCCGCGGCGGTCACCCCCGCGGTCGGGACGGGGAAATGGACATCAACGGCTCTCCCCCCCCTCACATGCCCGCAGCCGCGTTTCAAGGGCGTGTGTTTCCGCTGCGGCCAGCCGGGCCACATGGCAAACGCATGTCCCATGGGCGGGCGTGGTGCGCAAGGCCCCTCACCGTTCGTGTGAGCGTTTTTTCTTCAAGGGCGGCGCCCTTTGCCCATATGCAAGTGGCATATGGGGCCGCACCGGTGGGTGCGTGGCCGGTGGCCAGCCTTCGAGCTAGGCAAGGAAACCTAGCAGGCTATGGCTGTCCTAGGGGATGCGTAGGCCGTGTGCCTAGGACCATGGTAGAACCATGTAATGTGTTTGTGTGTCGCCACAGCAAGTTGATTTCTAGTTGGAAAAAAAAAAAAAAAAAAAAAAAAAAAAAAAAACGAGTATGCTTGACAAGGTGGCTGGAAAGCCAAGCCACATGAGAACACATTGAGCAGCCGCCATAATGCGTGTAAGGAGGCTAAATATATATATATTTATTTATTTATTTATATATGGAGAGAGCGTACGAGAGAGCGGAGAGGTGGGGACCCACAAACATACCACGGTATGCCACCCAAGAAAACGAGCGGCCAAGAGCAAGCCCACCAAGGACATGGCACAAAAGCATGATGGCAAGAAAGAAGGAGCTGCGAAAGAAGGGAGAAAGGGAGAGAGAGAGAGAGAGAGAGAGAGAGAGAGAGAGAGAGAGAGAGAGAGAGAGAGAGAGAGAGAGAGAGAGAGAGAGAGAGAGTAAGAGATAAGAGAGAGAGAGAGAGGGGGGGGGGGGCGAGGGAAAGAGAGCGAGAGAAAGAGAGAGAACGAGAGAGAGAGAGAGAGAGAGAGAGAGAGAGAGAGAGAGAGAGAGAGAGAGAGAGAGAGAGAGAGAGAGAGAGAGAGCGAGAGAGAGAGAGAGAGAGAGAGAGAGAGAGTGAGTGAGAGAGAGAGAGAAAGAGAAGAGAGAAACAAAAAGAGAGGGAGAGAGTGTGAGAGAATGAGCGAGAGAGAGAGGGAGGGGGTAAAATGGAGAGGAGTAAAAGAGCACGAAGAGGAAATCACGCACATCGAGAAGGACACGCGGAAGAGTCTCCCAAGATAAGGCATTGGCCCAGCCATGTGGCAGGCAATAAACGATCATCAGCTGCCCGATTTGGCACCAACACCTCATTGCCATGCCCATCTCCCCTCTTGACCCCGAACGCGGCAGGACCCGAACACGGATGGCCACGCGACCGACACGACCCCTACGAATACGCTGTCACGGACAAGGACATCACGATCATGCGAAGCCGACTGCTCCAGGCCCTGTATTGGTGGTGCTCGTGATGCGATAGCAGTTTCATCATATCTATAATCGCCAAAAGTTATTGGCTGCCCTGGAAGCACACAGCCCCGTCCTCCTTCGACGATAAGAACCATGCCGGCATTCACACGCATCTCGACTTCACTCGCGAAGCAATTCAAGAACTTGTTGCCACTGGCTCTGCCGTGCCTTTCCCTACACGAGACACGCTAACCTGCGTTAGTCCTCTGAACGTCATCAAGCAGCGCAACAAATGCCGCCTCATTCTTGACCTTCGCTAAGTCAACGCCCACCTCGAAATTCCGAAGTTCAAGTATGAAGGCCTGAACCGGGTAGCTAAACGCATCCGTCCCGGTGACTGGATGTTCTCCATCGACCTGAAGTCCGGCTATCACCACGTCGAGATGCACCCCTCCTACTGGAAGTATTTGGGCTTCCAATTTGAGGGCGCGTACTACTCCTTCCGCTCGCTGCCGTTTGGTTTCCCCATGGCCCCGTTCGTTTTCACCCAGCTGATCAAACAGTTGGCAAAGCGGTGGAGGGCCAGTGGCCTACGCGTCGTACCGTACGTCGACGACCTTCTATTCCTTTGCAACTCTCAAACGCACGCGCGCTCAGCATGTGCCGTAGTTACCCAAGACCTAAAGGCGGCTGGTTTTGTTATCAACAGAAAAAAAATCGCATCTCCACCCCACGTGACTTATCCACTTCCTCGGCCTGGAGGTCGACGCAGCTCGCGGCATGTTCTCCATCGGTCATGAACGACGAGCTCAGCTCCTGGCCACACTCACCGACATCATCACCCAGGGCCAAGAAGGATGTCGAGTCCCCATCCGCTCCCTTGCGCGAGTCACCGGCATGTTGGCCTCCATGACCCAAGCATTGGGCGCCACAGCACGATCCTTTAGTCATGAGCTCCTGCGACTCATCGTCGATGCCACGTCTTGGCATGACAAAGCCCAACTACCTCCGTCTGCATTAACAGAGCTACGCTTCTGGCTTTCGCAGTTTGACCAATTCTATGGCGCCCCATGCCATCTCAGTCACCAATATGACGCGGTCATCCACGTTGATGCAAGTGCCCATAGCTGGGGTGCCACCTTCACTCAACTCCCTGGCACGCACATCGAGGCCAGCGATCGCATGCAAGAAAAGCTCGTGCCCACCTCCAGCACTCGCAGGGAACTCGAAGGCGTCCTTTGGGCACTCCGGACATTCACTGCCCACCTCGTCAAGCGTCACATGCTTATTCGCATTGACAACCAAGGGGTGGTGTTCATCCTTCGCAAGGGCGGCTCACGCCACCCCTCACTCACGCGGCTATGTCAAGCGATCATAAGACTGTGCTTGGAGAACCGGACGCGACTCGCTGTCGAATGGATCCCGAGAGAATTGAATGCCCACGCGGATGAGCTCTCGAAAGTCCAAGACTACGACGACTACTCACTCCAAGCTCCCTGGTTCCGGCTCTTGGATCGTCGACTCGGACCTCACTCCATCGATCTTTTTGCCAACGTACGCAATGCCCAGCTGCAGCGGTTCTGTTCCAAGATCCCCCATCCTGAGGCAACAGCGATTGACGCTTTCTCACTCAATTGGCAGCACGAGCACGGCTTCGCATTTCCCCCGCCCCACCTCATTCCAGGCACCCTGCGACGTGCCTTACGCACACATGTTGAGCTAACATTGGTCATCCCCGAATGGCCCGGCGCATCATGGTGGCCACTCCTCCAGCCAGCACCCCGTGTATGGGTGCCGGAGATAGTAGCCCATATCCCACTCACCCACGGCACCCAATGTCTCCGCCCTGGCACATAGTCGCTCGCTTTTGCCGGCCAAGGCCTGCCTCATAGCCAGATGATTGCCTTGCATGTAACCTACAAGACATAACTCTTCCATGTATGGTGTATATTTTCAGGCATGCTGTCGAAGTTAAAGACAATTACTTTGAATAACCACCCACATCCAAGCGCCCTTCACTTTCAAGACCTATGACCCGTACTGGCAGAAAATTCGTTCATTCTGCATGCAATTCAAGCTTGGTTATCTGCCAGCCACGGACACAACCCTGGCGCTCTATCTTTTTCACGCGCTCAATAACCAAGCAACTGTCTCTGCCATATCCCTCACATGCTCTGCCGTCTCTTTCGCACACCGGATGACCGGCGAGCCCTCTCCCACGAACGGCCCTTTCACGGTACAAGTATGCAAATTTGCCAAACGCCATGGGCCACGCCCCACGAGGAATAAGGAACCCTTGTCGCTCCACCAAGTCCATACTATGGCTCGTCCCTTCCTCGAATCAACCAACCCAACCACATACCAGAAGGGTCTCATTCCGCTGCTCATGTTCGCAGCATTCCTACGCTACTTGGACCTCGTCAGCATCCAGTGGAATGACATACAATTTGAGGACGAGGCAATGTGGGTCCTGATCCCACACTCCAAGACGGATTAGGAAAGCAAAGGCACCTGGGTTCCCATCGCTGCCACGACCGGACCCTATTGCCCCGTCAGCTACACACTACGCTTCATTCACCTTACATGCCACACCGCCACCCCACGCAGGCCTCTGATTCACGTCTTTGGGACCTGAGGCAAGACCACCCCAAGGGACACCGCACCTTCATACACCACCATTTGGAACTGGTGTCTGGAAGCCTTTGCCACAGCAGGCTTGGACCCCACCAATCTCGGCACCCACTCTTTCCGCAAGGGCGCCGCGACCGCAGCGGCCAGCCTTGGGATACCTGACAGGCTTTTTCAAGCATCTAGGCCGATGTCGCAGCGACAGTGCAAAGGAGCTCTACGTCACTATCGCACAAGACCACCTTCTTGCAGCCTCCACGCAGCTTCAAGATGCATCTGCAGCCCCATCGCCCAACAACCACCAGCTGTCCATCGAGCGGCAACGCCGACCCGTCCTCCACATGCCTCAGAAGACCTATATGAAATGAAGCATGCTGCCTTTCAAGAGGACCTAAGCAAGCTTTCACAATATGATTTTTTTTTAAAGCGTGTATCGCTTTCTAAAAATGTGTATTGTGATAGTGTAGCAAGGGCCAACGCAGCAAAGGCAGCAGCGAAGCGCACCTAGCCCTCTTTTGCATTCAAAAGAGGAACGTGAGGCCTCTCGGCCTCACCCACGTGTTAAATTATATATTTTGTTATATAATTGGTAGGCTTGGTAGGTTTATCGAACTCTACTGTAGAGGGTAAAACTCCCTCCTTGTATGCCTCTCTCTTCCTAGTCTCCTCCCCTTTTCTCTCCTAAACTTTCTCCTTCTCAAACCTCACGCCATTCCATGGCTTCCTCCTACTCCTAGCTACCTTAGTTTAACATGGTTTCAGAGCAAACCCCTTTCGCTCGGGCCTTCTCCTCACGCTTCCACTGCGTACCCCCCCACCCCCCCCGTCACGCCGCGCTGGCCCCGTCATGACGCGCTGGCCACGTCACTCCGCGCTGGCCCCGTCACGCCGCGCTGGCCCCATCACGCCGCGCCGGCCCCGTCACTCCGCGCCGGCCCCGTCACTCCACGCTGGCCCCGTCACGTCGCACTGGCGCAGTCACGCCACGCCGGCCCCGTCACGCCGCGCTGGCTCCGTCACCCCGCGCTGGCCCCGTCACTCCGCACCGGCCCCGTCGTCGCCGTGCCTCAGTGCCGCCGTGCCGCCGTGCCGCTGGGTCGCCGTGTCGCCGCGCCGCCGTGCAATCGTAATGCCGTGGCGGCTTCGCCACGCCAGCGCCCGAACAGCTGTGGCCAGAGCCCTGTCCTAGGCGCCAGTCGTAACACCCCCACGCCAGTAAGCATCGCGCCAGCCATGGTGCCTCGCTGAAGATTCGTCCTCTCACACCAGTACGCGTCGCGCCAGCCATGGTGCCTCGCTGAAGATTCGTCCTCTCCCGCCAGTAAGCGCCGCGCCACCCATGGCGCGTCGCTGAAGATTCGCCCCCCCCCACCCCCCCCTTCCCCTGCGTCTCCTCTTCCTCCTGCCGCAGCTGCTGTCTTCTACCCGGTCGTCGCCTCGCCGTGCCACACCGCCGAGAGCCTTCAGCCATGGCCGTTGCCCGTGCTGCCTCTCGCCAGGGGATGTCACCTTGCCAAGCCCGAGGGGTAGATACCCGGCTGATCTCGAGCATGGGGGTGTAAGGGGTTAGGGGTTGTGTGTTGGGTGGGCTTGTGACTACCAAGCCTAGGGGGTGTGTTAAATTATGTATTTTGTTATACAATTGGTAGGCTTGGTAGGTTTATCGAACTCTATTGTACAGGGTACAACTCCCTCCTTGTATGCCTCTCTCTTCCTAGTCTCCTCCCCTTTTCTCTCAACTTTCTCCTTCCTAAACCTCACGCCATTCCATGGCTTCCTCCTACTCCTAGCTACCTTAGTTTAACACCACGTTCTTCATTTCTAGTTCAACTCATTTGAGTTTCCCCGCCCACCCACCCTAGCTACGGTATGGGTTTAGTAGTTTATTGGACGAGAACGGATGTATGCAACCCATATGAAATGAAGCACGCTGCCATATGAAATGAAGCACGCTGCCTTTCAAGAGGACATAAGCAAGCTTTTGTCAAATATATGTAAAACTCATATTTGTATAGACTGTATAGGGTCACCTCTTAGAGGGTACAACACTCTTAGGTATATACCCTTGTTCTCTCCCTCTATTCTATCATTCAGTTTTCTTCTCGACATGGTATCACCTGTAGGTTCGACCCCCCCCCACCTACCGCTTCCGCCCGTTCCTCCTAGGCCCCGTCGCGCTTTCACCTAGGCCCCGTCGCGCCGGCCCCACCTAGGCCCCGTAGCGCCCCTCCTGGGCCCCTATCGCGCCTCCTAGCCCGTCGCGCCCCTCCTGGGCCCCTATCGCGCCTCCTAGCCCGTCCGCCCCTCCTGGGCCCCACTCGCGCCTCCTAGCCCGTCGCGCCCCTCCTGGGCCCCTGTCGCGCCCCCTAGCCCGTCGCGCCCCTCCTGGGCCCCTGGCGCGCCACCTAGCCCGTCACGCCCCTCCTGGGCCCCTCTCGTGCCTCCTAGCCCGTCACGCCCCTCCTGGGCCCCTGTCGCGCCTCCTAGCCCGTCGCGCCCCACCTGGGCCCCTGGCGCGCCTCCTAGCCCGTCGCACCCCTCCTGGGCCCCTCGTGCCTCCTAGCACCCACCGCGCCTGCCTGGCCCCGCCGCGCCTGCCTGGCCACGTCGCGCCTGCCTGGCCCCGCCGCGCCTGCCTGGCCCCGCCGCGCCTGCCCGGCCCTGCCGCGCCTCCTGGCCTCGCCGCCCCTGACTGGCCCGCCGCACCTGCCAGGCCCTGCCGCGCCTGCCTGGCCCCGCCGCACCTGCCTGGCCCCGCCGCGCCTTCTGGCCCCGCCGCGCCTGCCTGGCCCTGCCGCGCCTCCTGGCCCCGCCGCCCTTGACTGGCCTGCCGCGCCTGCCTGGCCCTGCCGCGCCTGCCTGGCCCCGCCGCACCTGCCTGGCCCCGCCGCGCCTTCTGGCCCCGCCGCGCATGCCTGGCCCCGCCGCACTGCCTGGCCCCGCCGCGCCTGCCTGGCCCTGCCGCGCCTCCTGGCCCCGCCGCCCCTGACTGGCCCGCCGCGCCTGCCTGGCCCTGCCGCGCCTACCTGGCCCCGCCGCACCTGCCTGGCCCCGCCGCGCCTTCTGGCCCCGCCGTGCCTCCTGGCCCCGCCGCCCCTGACTGGCCCGCCGCTCCTGCCTGGCCCTGCCGCGCCTGCCTGGCCCCACCGTACCTGCCTGGCCCTTTCGCCCCGGCTCGTCCTGCTGTGCCACCTCGGGCTCCGTCTCCTCCGCTCGCCCGTGCTGAGGCGCTTCGTGGCCACTGTGCTGGAGGGGGCTGTAGCTGTGTTCCTGTGGAGCTATGCCGCTGACCCTACACGATGGCAGACTTCGTGCTCCGACTGGACGCCGAGGGCCATGCGGTTGACTTCGCCGCCTGGCTCTCCGATCTCCGCCGCCACCTTACAGGTCAGCGTCAGGATGGCCACTCTTTGGTTGTCCATGTTGACGGCTTGCTCCCCCGCCCCCCTGTACCTGCCCCCCTCCATGCTGATCCCTCCTCTGATGACCG